AATTTATGCCCACGAATTGTATTGAGATGTGCACAACTTAAGGCACTCATAACTCTCCTTCATTTCATGCCCATTTTTGAACAGTAATCAGTGTCTATATTAAGGCAAGATATCACGCACGGAAACAATTATTCACACGATGCATCTATAGTTGCGTATCAATCACCGATACAATATGCAAGGAAATATTTTCCTGCTTTTGGTATAATTTAACTATGAACAGAAATCTGTCTTTATTTCAAATTAATGTTCAATATAAAAGGCAAAATTGAGACACACAGAAATCTATGCGAAATTTTTACTGTATAGCACTTTCCTTATCTTTTAGCCTTTGTAAACAAAAAAAGCATCTGAAGTTAGTGGATATTTAAAAATCTGTACCACGAAGATAAATGCTTGAATGAATTCTTAATGTTTCAAGAAATTAATCTTATTTAATAATTTTGATCAGAAGAAGGTAAAGAAGAGAAAAATATTATAAAACATAATTCAGTCTGCTAAAATAATGAAAACTTACATTGCTTGCTTTTTATATAATTGTTTTTAACAACATATAACAAGTTATTTGTTCTAAGCAGCTTTTTATTCTTATTAGCATAATTGAAATGGAAAGAAGATTTAATGCAATGCAAATAAATGCAAAATGAAAAATGCAGAACTAATGCCAGGTATAGTTTTATTTATACCATAAATAATCTCATTTCTAGAATGTTCTTTTAACTGGCAAGTCATCAAACTAAATTTCTTAATGCTCAATTTTCAAGATAATTTAGAGAGAAGAGCGAGTTTATGACACTCCTAAAAATTATAAAGATGATTATATTTTCTACGGCTCTTAAGTGCCGTGGACTAAAAAAGACCTTGGTGACACTGATGACTTTTTTCTCCCCCCGCCTCAGATTCAGATTTTCTGGCTGCAGAGGATTTACGCTTTCTTTGTCCTTTGTTTTCATTTCATATTTCATAACGATGAATGAACTACTTTGCGCTTTAAATTAAATCATTGCTAAATAGTGAAAATTATGCAAAAACTGAAATATTTTCTCTCATTTATGTCACAGATTAAAAACTATTTCTAATGTTAAAAAAATGTACCGTCAGAAATTTTCAAAATTATTATATTTTTTAGATAATTCGGCAATGTGGAGGGGGTGAAGTGGCCAGGGCTGCCAGAACTCTCCTGCCTAGCTATGAGCATGAGATAGAATGTTATTTAAAGCATGATAGGTTTTTAAAATGAAAGAAGATTTAGAAAATCCTTTTACGAATAAGAACATATATGCATAATTTTGATTAACGTTAAGCAATAATTCAATTTCCCGTATTTATTTAAGATTAGTATTCTCCTCTTGTAATCTAACTGAAGATTCAATTGCACAGTATAGCTTAATTTTAAATCATAAAATTTCATGGTCACTGAGATATAACGATTTCAGCGAAGTATTATATAAACTGACTTGAGGATAAAGTATAATGTGCTTCCTAGAAAATTCTTGCTGCAAGAGCCAAATTTTATTGCCTAATAAAAATGCTTACTTTACCCTCTCTTTTGCATCTAGCCGTTCAGTCTACGCCTTTCTTTCTATGCGGATGCAACATTGTGTTGGTCTTTCTGCCCCTTCATTTCTCTCACTCGAACCGAAGAACGATGCAAACGCGAGCGGTGCGAAAAAATATTTTTTAATCTTTAACTTTTCATCGTGTGCAAGTAATTTATGGTATACGCCTAATATTTTGCTGAATTTTCCTCCAGTGGGCCTTTAATTTATTACTTTTAGAGTTAAGCGCTGCCCTCTTCTCGTTAAAATATATTTTCTGACTTCCATGCATTAAAAATACATAAAAGTCTTGCGAAACTACCCAGAAGCTGTGGTAAAATGGAAATATGTGACATACTTTGTTAGAGGAATTTGCGTAGTATATTTCTTTCAGCGTAACTTAATATTATTTTGTTGTTATAGATATTCGTTTTTGTTGTTACCATTATATGTTTCTTGAATCCAGAATTCTTACAGGGTCCATTAGAGCACATGATTTTGCCTTATTTTAAGTGGTGCAATACATGTAGTAAACGTTAAACGCATTTAAAAAATTATTTTTCTTGTAATATTAAAAAATGGAAGGAATTTCCATTTTTTTTTTCAAATTAAAAACTCAAAATCAACCGTTTTTACTATTCGAAATTTTTATTCCGAATTTATTGAATCTGATAAAATAATATCAACTGATCAGATACCTCAAATAAGAAACTGATTAAGATAAAGCTAAAATTATATAAAATTATATATATTATATTATTATAAAATTATAAATTAACATAAAGCTAAAAATTATTATAATTAACAGAAACATGCTATTAACCGTTTATATACTCTTTCAAAGCAGTTTATTCCGGAGACTGAATTCATTGCGTTCCGTAACTTATACCAAACATTGGAAACAAAACAAACGCACTATAAATAATGCAACAATAAACGTCATTGCGAAAAAAAGAACCTAAGTTATAAATGGCACTGAAAGAGCTATACTTTTAAAAGAAAATAAGCAGTGTCGTTAAATTCAAACTCTCGTAAATATGTCTTTCAGAACTTTTTTGGTTTTGGGTAAAGTTCGCGTGGGAAATATTGTCTGCTACTGCAACTGTTATCCTCTGCGCTTTTCGATTCTTTTCTGAATTTTTCTTAGGCAGCGTTATTTTACATTGATGGTTTGTGATAGTAACTTTTCCAGCATTCCGTAATAAGCAAAATTAAGCAGAATTTGAATGTAAGTTCGATTAATTGTACAAAATCAATTATCTTTGCCTAGGAGGAGAGTTATATAAAATATTTCTAACGCAAAATTTAGCTAATATTATTAAAATTATTTTGCTGAGAAACTTGAATGAATTCCTTCATGCATCCTTTTAAAATTTAAATATTCATTTATCTGGTTCATAGCAGTTTTTAAACATAAGTCTATGTTTAGAATTTCTCGAATTTCGGTAATTATATTAATTTATTAATTTTTATTTTTCATTTACCTAGTAAAATGGTAGTTATTCCATGCCCGAGACATATACGCCAGGTCCACAAAACCTCGTACCCAGCGTTTATTTCTTTGTTGTTCGTTGACATATACTTCCAGTCACAAAAATCTTTTAAATGACGTAAATACTCATATTTTGTATTCTTTAAATTTAAGAAAATCAAATTTGTAAAAACTGCGAAGTGTAACTTTTTACACGTTCGTCTGGTGCATATGCTTATATATTTTACGTTTTACATAAAATAAAATAGAAAACATCTCATGATGAAAATTAACGAGATGTTTAGTTTCAAACGTTTCCAATACTGACGTCGTTTTTTATTTCTATTCAGTAGTCGTTTAAATATATTAGAATAATTTGAAGTTGATTTTTGATATTTAGTGTTATTATTTTGTCATTTACTAGGGTCTTTAATTCATAAGTTTGTTTCATTTGATATGCCTAAAAATTTTTCCTTTAAGTAATCTATGAGTTTTTAAAGTCTAAAAACATGTTATTAATATTCTCACAAGATTTTATTACATCAGAATTACAGTCTGATCAACGTACAAAAAATTCTCTAAATTCTGCATAGTTTTTATTTTCAATTACTGCAAATACTATTACAAGTTGGATGCATACTGAAACTACTTCTAGGAAAATGGTCTAATACTGTTTATAAAACTCCGCACAGAAATACTTTCACTTAATCTCTAAACATCAAAAATCTTTTTCTAATTTATTCTATTTTTTAGTTAATTGAGTAACTTAGCATTTTGCTCTTCATTTTTGTACAGCCCTTGAATGTAATGTTCAAACGTTTAATGTCAAATATCTCTGTCAATTTTTGTCGTACCGGATTCAATTTTTTTTTTGTATTTTATTTTGTATTACTCATTACAATGAGTACAGAATTTTCATTATATAGAATAGGGAACGTATAAAATATTACACTCCGTAACTTTAAAAATGCATTTCTTTAAATATAAAAATGTCAAAACAAAATCGACCAATGCTTGCGAAACTAAAGACCAGGTAAGAACTAGTGCATTATACAATTATATGACCCTTAAACATCTATTACTGATTGTACTAATTATCTAAATGTTTAGGAAATAATGATTCAGCTCTATTATATAATACTAAAAATAATATTTATAAGTACCTTATTACTTTCACGTGTATGAATTATTAAGAAGCATAGCTCTTTTTCAACACTGACAAGCAATGTGCATCTGCAGTTTGAGCATTAAAATTGTAATGAAAAGGTAATAACTAAATTTATTATTGCCTCTGGACGTTTCAGTTTTTACGTAGACAAGCACGGTGTTGCTTTAATTTGAAATAAAAATTCATAAAATTGTTAACCAATTAATGAGATTTTAGAACTGTGGCTCAGGGAATGTAGCATTCATAAAACTGGCAATTTGAAAGTTAATGTAGATAATCAAAGGTGGGAACGTATACGAAAAAATAAATGCAAATTAGAAAAAAAAGGGTTCTTTGAGGGGAATTTCATATTTGGGGATGAAGCGGTCAATATTTTATTTAGTTTATGAATATAAAAACCCATCGTTCAAGTTTAGTATTAATAATACTTTATATAATATATATATATATATATTTTTTTTTTGCTTAATCTATAAAATACATTAAAATAATTTAGATACATCTATACGTGTTTTTTGAGTTTTAGAAATGGGGAATGATGATTTAGCAATGGTGAAAGCGACGCATAAGTATAAAAAAAAAGTTGAGGCCACTGTCCAGCAATTCTTGTGAATACAGTTATGATATTTACAGTTTTAAAAGTTTGATTTTTATATAGGTAATGCTAATTTATTTAGATTAGAAATTAAAATGTGCGTAAAAATAGTCTCATAAACACTAATAGTACTATTCTTGTGAACTGCATTTAAATTAAAACTTATTATATAAGGTAATGTTTAGTATTGTATATTAAAGCAAATTATGTTTTTATTTTTCTTCGCAGGTGCTGTTGCTTCATCGAAAACGTATCTAGAAAGTATTAGCAAATTAGCCAGGCACGCCCACCAAGGAACTTTGGGTGGTTCAACAGATATTGTTGAGTAGTGCAGTTGTTAAGTAGATCTAAATATTATCTAATTATATCTGCCACTAAAGTATTCTATTTACAAAGATATAATATAGTTTCCTCCAGTGGAGCTTCATTATACTTCATTATATCCAGTGGAGCTATACGGCTACACAGGAGTAAGCCCTAATCTGACTTCAGTGTTACATGTCTCTAAAAACATACATATATCGACTGGTGTAAGGGATGTATTTTGAGTGATCATTGATCGGATAAAATAAATAAAATATACCGGTTCCAAACTGTAGAAAAGTTATATGCTTTTGCTTTTCTGTTTTCTTAGCTATGGGCGACTGGAAGATCTGATCCGAATAATGAATGGCTGCATAGTTACACAGATGCTCTAAGCTTGGTAAAAGGGGCAAAGCGGGGGTCGCGGGTAGGGACACCTAGCAAAATTTTTTTCTTTTTCAATTTTTAACATCTTGATTTTCAAAGAAGAGCCTTATGATAGGACGGATAGAGTAGTCAGGTAGGTAATGAGGAAGAGCGGCTGAATACATTGTGGACACCTTCTTACGTTTAACAACATACAAAATTTGTACTTTCAGTACTCACATGTTTAATTACAGACCACGAACTGCCTTATTATCAAATGTTAATCCTAAAGGCAAAACGTTTTGAACAAAACCTGCGGGCTTTTGGAGGATGTACTGTATTGCTTTCGAAGCATTTTTGAAACAATAACTGGGATTTACCTTCTCACTAATTGCTGGCATAACTAACATTTGAAAAGGATATTTATTATTTTGAGTGTCTCCTTCACTTACTGTCTACGGCAGGTGATCATCTCCTTCTTTGTCCCTAAGCAGTTCTGTTAAAATTAAAAAAACATGTATGTTTTCTGGGCTTGTGAAAAAACAATGAAAAAGCCATGTTTTGGCTTTGATTTTAAACAAAACTGTATGGTGAGAGATCAAACCCAGGTTTCTCTTCAGGAGGAAAAACACACCAAATTAAAGACTACTGTACTTCGGGGTGTGTTTCGATTTCACATACTTAGAAGTAAATTTTAGTGCTCAAGCAGCTTTACAGAGCCTGAGATTAAATAGTACCTGAAAGGTTGTCCCTAGAAGGAAATATCAACTGTATAAAATTAATAGAAGAGGCATATTCCTTTTGTAGAGGCGTTGAGCCAACGACATGCGAGCTTTCGAAGAAAATAGTAATGTAGCAGGAAAAATTGTTGTATTAGAATCTTTAAAGCATTACGAAGGACTGGTTTGGAGTTAATGCCATTAACTAACGAAAATAAACTTCAATAAAAAAAACTTCAAATAAAATAAACTTGTAAATATGAAACCTTCAATGAAACCAATTTTCCAAAACACCAACTGAAGTATTTATGGATAAGTTTCTCAAATACAAAACGTAAATTCGGAATATGTTTCTAACCATGATCAGCCATCGAAGATTTTTTTATCCTTTCTGGACATACCATTCGGGTTCCTTGAGGAAACCTTTTAACACTGTTTTTAATTTAGCCTGTATATCTCACACCACACTGAAAAGATACGTTATAAATTCAGGAAAAATTAAAGTCAGAGATGGAATCTTTAAGAATCAAACGAGAAGTTTTACTGATAGGTGAACTTCTGTCAAATACTTGCAGTTTTGTTACTGATAGAAAGATGGCTATTAATGTTATTTAAAACAGTGGAATGTCTTCTTTGATGACAAGCTGAAAGTGTTTTGAAAGATTAATCAATGACTATGATCTCAAATGATTTCTAGTATTTAAGTTCATTACAGAGCAAAGATTCTGAATAACAAACTTCAAGAGACCAATATACAAACGATTAGCACTTTTTTGCTAAACAGGATTACATGGTTAAGCAGTTAAGCATGGAGCAGCAAGCAAGCAGGAGAGGCATACGGTGGTGCTGAAGTTAATTTAAAACCTACGCCAAACTAGAGCTGATGTTTTGCTTAGTTTAAGGAAAGTTTCCTTTAGTTTTCTTACTTTTCTCTTCCTGTTTGAGAAAGTTCTTTACTCAAACATTGCTGGGAGATTTGAGATGGCATAAGACTCTTTTCACAGTATTTCAACTTTTGTTCTTAAACTTCTAAGTTATGGTTCTGCTATCGAATTTTGTCCACATGTTTTTATTCTGTGTTTTATTTATATCTTATCCTCTTTTGACAAGTTTCTAAAGCCATTTTGAGCATTGAAAGAAAAGAACCCTTCTTTCGTGCTCCAAAAATCTGGCATTGATTGCATTAAAACATCCCCTGATGCAGTTCTAGAAACGATCTAATTTACAAAATTTATAAACAATTGAATATTAAAATCTATTTATTCATTCTGCTAATATTTTACACCAAATTATTGCTAATTTTCATTATACTGTATATTTAATTGACATACAGCTTTTGATACTTTTTCAGTTATATCGATTGGCAATATAAGACTGTTGAAGGAATTTAAATTGTCTTCCTATAACTGAAATTTAATTAAAATGCATAAAGCTCTGTTTATAATTTAATAAGTGATTTCTGTCAAATACCGCTTATCAAAATTTCGGTAGGTTTTAAATGCTGCTTGCTCGACATGGTGTCATCTTAAACGCGCAAAAACACTCTGTTGTTAGATTTATGTCTCGACACACAGGACAAATTTGGACATACATTCATATTTTTATAGGCTTTCCTACACACAAAATCGCTCTAATTTAACATTATTAGAACAATCCTTTACTTCTCCTTCTCACAAATGAAAATTTACGATCCCCGTTCTTCTTAAAACGGAAGTCTGCAGCATAAATGTTATATTATTTATTTTTCTATCCCCTTAAAGCTTTTGATCCTTGAGCATTTGATCCTCTTCAATTTATTCATGCAGAAGTCATTAACATTCTATTTACCTTCAATTTATCCTGCAGTTACCGGTCAATTCGTTTTATATGTTTTTAAATTAATCTACAGCAGGTTTCTCAACCGGTGTTACGTGTACCACTGGTGGTGCGCAAAGAAGCAAAGTATTTTAACTATTAAATTCAAAAATTAAAATCCGAACATCCTTGTTGAGTTTTTCTCTAACAATCGTAAATTTATGTGATTTGAGCTTTGTTCAAGAAAGGTACCACGTGGTGGTAGTAGTACTTTGTAGTGGTGGTACTAAAGGTTTTCAATTTTCCTTTAGATGGTACAGTTAGTCAAAAGTTTGAGAACCGCTGAGGATAACAGTCTTCAATAAATGCTTGATTCTGTTGCTAAATTTAAATAATTTGTTTGTTTCAAGTAAACTGCAGGAGTTAGAGAAAGACAAAAATAAGCCTAGAGTATTTAGCTTCTAACTTGAAGAGAAATACGTTGAGATAGAGGAATAAATGCCGTTATAAAAAATACATACGTTTAGTTAAACCTAAGCTGCTGTAACAGGCTCCTGTAAATGTTTGTTACAGTCTCTTGCATTTATTTGTTTTTGTTATTCACTTATGTTTTAGCAAATGACAGTTTGTAAAAATGAAATGTTAGCGAATATTGTTTAGAAATAACTACTTTATGGACTTTATTCATTACATTTTGAATTTAGAGCCACAAAATGGTACATTGTAAACGTTCTTTTACTATAACGTAGAACTTCCGATGATGATTATTAATTACTTCTCTTGAAATAGAGCATACGGATGTAAGGTAATCTGGGTAAATGCAGCTGATCCCGGTCCATCAACAGTAATCGCATTACTTTCGGCTCCAATGAACTCGGATGAACAAAATATCATTCCACCCTATGGACTAAGTAACATATATCGATCAGGCCAAGTCAATTCACTCTGTTGATCTTATGATGTAATGAAGACATGGCATACAGAAGACTTTCCTTACGTTTTATGTCTACGGACAACATTGATATGTTACAAGAAAAAAGAAGAAGAATTGCAATATTTTTGTGACAGCAAAATTTAAATTCTCGCTTGGTCTGGAAAGAAATTCGATATTTTTAAACAATGCTTGAGGAAAAAAGAGAGATGAATGTCTTCAAATAATTTGAATAGACTGTTTGTTAGTATGCAGACTAAAAAATACAGAATGAAAATACACAATTATGAAAGGCGATTAATAGCTCAGAAATATGTGTAAGACAATTTTGAGTTGTATTTCTGAAAGAGTTTTCAGTTGTGAAATTATATGTCAAGCATCCTATTTCAAGAAAGAATAAATATTAAGTCTCCAACTAATAGCAAGTAGCCCAAACTGCACAATGTTTGATATAGGATACATGTACTCTATTTACAAAGATTGAATTGATATTCACAAAATTACTGGTTTTTCAACTCACCATTCCACATGTTCAACATCATCTAAAGCCGAGTCTCTATCTAATTTTTTTTCATTAACAGTGTTTAATTTTGATTAACATGTTGAGACACGGATGGAATCGTATGTTATTCACATTTTGATGGCTCTAGGTACCGTTGTTTTATTACAATGCGAGAAATATATATACGTTTATGTAGATTCTTGATTAATTAATTTTTTTAAATATAATACAGGGCTCTAATATTTGGGGTCAACAATTTTAAAAGTGAATCAACGTTTATTGGGAATCGAAGCAAAAATCCAAAACGAAATTAATAGTCCTTGAGCTGTTACGACCATTTGATTAGAAAAGACCAAAATAATTAAAAACTGCGTGCCGTTGTTGCTGGATATAATTAGTTTATTTTTCTATCGAAATTTTTTATGTGGGTTCCATATCGCATCAGACTGAAAAATGTATGACTATGGATCGTATTTTTTGCATCGTATTTACAGTGGTATCGTTCATTCCGTTGTTAGATACATTACTCTCAATTAACTAAACCGGCATCGGGTACTTCCGCTAGTTGTTTAATAATTATAAAGAATGAATTATTGTATAATTTTCATATTTGATTCAACAAGTGATTGAACATAATTAATTTTTATTTTCCTCCAATGAGAAATATATGATTTTAAAAATGGTTCAATAGAACGTTTTCTACTTC